TTTTCGATTGCCTTTCCGTGTATAATTATTGCAACAATGAAATGGGGTCATTCTTTTCGGACCGTGTTTTACTAAATATCACCGCTCACAGTTGTTTTTTGTAAACGGTTGCTACGCAGTTCAAGTTGTGTAATTCTGTGGGATGTTATAGCAAAAATTCCAATATCCATCCAGTCGTGGAAAATACATTTCCGTTGTCCACAGGCTGCGCGAAGTATTGAACTTTGTGATCAATCAGGCCACAGAAAACACATAACTGAAAACTAAAATGATGTGATTGACGAGTGAACGGATTATATAAATCTAAAACATAGAGATTAAGGGAACACTGCTGCTGGATATGTATGAACATGTACTGTATGTATTTTTTTACATTTATGGACATAGATTAACATTTATGGACATTGGTCGTTCCGCGCTCTACGTGTTTATTAAGCATTTGTTCTGACCGAAGCGAACACAGGTAAATTCAAAACTTTGTTGAGACCGCTGCTGTTGTGATTTAGCTCTATAGAATTGAATTCGGCCATAATCATCCACATTTTAAAGTCACTTTGCATGAAATGAGTCAATATTATAAATTGGTTTAACATTTCATAGGAGACAATATAAAAACAGGCTTGGAGTTGTCCATTATAAGATCAGGGTCTTCTGTCAAAAACATATAACTCCGCATCTTCTGTCTCGGTCCTGTAATAGTATGATGTCATTATACCACGATTTATGACATCACACACAGAGCAGTTTATGGCCGTTTAAACAAAAGGCCCATACATTTGTTTTGGTATTTTCTCTGGTACATTTACATGACTGTGTTTGCTGCTGAAAAAATGAATAAAAATAGAAATAATCTGTTACCTCCCTCTGGTGGTCGCACAGGGATAATGCAGACCTTTTTCTACCCTGAGACTTGCTTCATCATATATATTTACTTAAGATATCATTTCACATTCTACAACATGAAATAACAAGTCAAAAAGTATTATTATCATTTTTGAGAATCCAAAAGAATTCATAATATGTCTGCTTTAAGTTGAATTACAGTGAACTTTAGAACAATATGGACGCTTTCCGAGTTTTGCCTGTATTTCTGTAGCACCTAGTTTTAAACCCAGATTTCTGTATTACAATTTTCCCATGTTTTCATCTACTAAACTCCTCTTTCAGTGCCGCACAGATAAAGGATCACCACCGACCCGACCGTCCTTGTCAGGGACTCTATGCGGTGCCTGCCTCATAACAAATGGCCTCCTCAAAGACGGTCAAGGCTGCTGGGCTTTCTCAGCTCTCGCTTCCAATTCATCTCGGTGGGACGAGACGATCAGAGGATAAAGCAATGGCCGTAGTACTTTGCTGTATCCTCACATAGTGGCGCCGTAATGCACCCAATAAATCACAGTCAAAGCTGCGTTTTTAACATAGAAGCCTCTAGCCCTGTTTCCACCAGTGTTTTTCCCAATATTCTCTACTATACTCCACTCTACTACAGTGCTCCCTCTGGGCAGTATGAGCAAGAGGGTCCTGGCTTTGATTTCACCTCCAGATGACGCCTTTCTGTGTGGAGTTTGCATGTTCTTCACGTGTCTGTGTAGGTTTCCAAGAGTACATGTACCTCTGTCTGTGAAAGGCGGTACAAAGGGGCAACGATGCATTGTATTTATTTATCCCTGTAGGACAATTCATCCTTTGCATTTGACCCATCCTGATGCCACTAGGGCGTCTATCAGGAGCAGTGGTCGCCGTAGTACAGCGTCCGAGGACCCATCTCCAGATGTTGATGCTCGGCTTGGTCAGGACTACTGGAGTTGGAGGATTCACCCTTTGTGCATGTTTTTAGTTAAACCGGAACACCTGGAGGAAACCTACGCAGGCATGGGGAAAACATGCAAACACGAAAGACCCTTAGTTGTATAGACCCACTTGTATATATGACTTCGTAAAATCCTAGTTTTTGACTTCCTGTTCAGGGTTGATTTTAAGATTCTGATTCTTGTTTTTTAAATGTTTGCTGTTACTGCTCCCAAACAGTGGAATAATCTACCTTTGTGCATCAGAGAAGCTCCTTCATTGGAGGTTTTTAAATCTTGCCCAAAAACATATTTGTGACTTGGCTTTTCCACTGACTAAGTTCTATATGTTTTATACATTTGCACATGTTTTGTGTGTTTTTGCTGTTTCTTTTTTTTTTTCTGTAGGTGAAGCACTTGTTGGGAAGCTAGTGTTGAATGGGCTATACAAATAAAGTTGACACATAACAAGATTTGTTTAAAAACAATATTTTGTTGTTATTTTAACCAATCTGTTTTTAGAGCTGAGAAGACGATGAAGTTTAAACCCTCTGAAGCTTCACTTTCTCTTGCAGTTCAATATTTGATGACAGTGTAGTTACTGCTGATGAAAGCAAATCTGAGTTCTTGAATGAACAAACAATAAATAATGTATTCTTGAACTAAATACAGTGGTCTCTCGTTTATCGCTGGTCTAAAAAACGATCTAAAAATAACCCGCCAAGTCAGGCCATTGAGCCTGAAGGTCGTGGGTTCGAGCCCACCACAAGACTTTCTCCACCGACTCCCAATGATGTCTGCTGCCGTTATGTTCTTGGCGGCTGTGGGACGGCTGCGGCTGTAAAGTGCCAAACTACCGTTGTGTCCTTAATAACCTTGACCCCCATTGCCTAGAATGAGTCTGGTGTGTGTGTGAATGGTTGGTGGTGGTCAGAGGGGCCAATGACACATACTGGTTGCCTCACTTCTGTCAGTGTGCGCTAGGGCAGCCGTGGCTACAGTAGTAGTTTATCACCACCGTGTTTGGAATGAAAGATTAATGTCATGTGAAGCGTCTTTGAGTGTTCAAAAAAGCGCTATATAAAACCAAGGCTCATTGTTATTATAATTAAATCGCAGCTGTATGTTTTAAGTACAGGCTGCATACCCACTTTTCTAGCCAACTGAATCAACGATGGCTAAAGTACAATATCAAACCTGTTCGTTGTAGGTCTGAGCGCTGCTGCAGCTGTCAAAAGCCGTGCGTACACTGTAAGTACAGCTGCAGAGGACACCGAGCTGAGGGGCAGGAGCAGAACTGGACTAACCACTGCAGTGCACACGAGACACAAAAGTTTTCTTCTGACTTCAGATAAACCATCATGTTATACTAGCGGTTACATGATGCTGTTGGAGTGTACATTACTGTTAGAACAAAGCACACACAAAAAAATCCCCGAATCAGCGAGGAGGCAATTTTGTGAACCACGTAAAAAAGCCTGGGACCACGGTATCTCATACAGGCAGTTTTGTCCGCCTCTCTGGAGACCGTAAATCAATATCTCTGAGAAGTTTGCGAATGGCTAATTGTAGAAAAGGGAAAAACCAGCCCACCACCATTAATTGCGCTGTCACTCTTTTATTGACTGGATGAGGGGCGTGTGAAAGGGGCTGACACCCACTGTAGGATTCAGAAAGCACATCTAAACAAGAGGAGGCAGGAGACTGGAGACGATGGAGAACAGATAAACAGACAAAGACCACACAGGGATGGAAATGGAGGGCTGGACTGACACCAATGCGTCTGGGAGAAGGTTAAAGAAGACATAACATGCTTCTGTCGGATATATAAAAGTAACAAACTATGACATCAGGGCTTCTATACTGTTTAGCAGAGCTGCAAAATACTGGAAAAAAGTGTGATATGGGACTTTTTTTTCCCTTAAAAAAGGTGCATTATAAAAATACCATTGTACCGTATATGTTTTGTATATGTTTTTCTATATGTAATTAACTTTCTTTACAGAGAGGGTTGATGTTATTTTAGTCAAAACAGGGGTAAATAAGTTCATACATGCAAAAGAAAAATTAGCTGATTTCATTGTTGTGAAATAAAATAAATATTTCGGTAGAGTGAGTGCTCCTGCTTTGAGTTTTCAATAGACAATCTTTGCCTCTGTTTTCTCCTCCTCCTCCTTTTCGCTGTTCTCTTTTTCACCTGGATCTATCGTTCAGTGAGTGTGCGCTCGCTCTGGCCAATGACAAAGCAGGACTTTTGGGTGTGTGCGTTCAAGGTGGCGTGTGATTGGTCGAAGTAAAAACAAGCTTATGTGAAGGAAACGTATGATTTTCGCACATTACTGACTCAAAGTTATCGCATATCGTTCCAATATGGATATCACACTTTCTATTATCGCCATGACAATCCTTTTTCGATTTCAATATTGTGCAGCCCTACTATTTAGCATATTTTAAATCTCAACTTTGAGCTTTGAAACATGTCATAAAAGAGACAAATCCACTCTAATAAATGACTCAGCTCAGTGATATCTACAACTTAAAATGTGTTAAATTTAAAAAAGACTGCATATTTTTGACCTTTTATCACTGCAAAAAGTGATGAAAAATAAGTAAAAAAATTGCTCAAATTTAGCCAAATGTAACTTAATTTGAGCACATTTTGACTTCCTTAAAACAAGATTTGCCAATGGGACGAAAGCAAAAATCATATACAAGAAATGCCTTCCCTGGAATGAGAAAACAAAGCAGCAGTTCTAGAAATAAGACTAAAAAGCTTTGGCTTTATGTTCTCAAATTAAGAAAAAAACCACTCGCAGCAATTATTACCTCATATTTTACCATTTTTTGCAGTGTAGTATCAGGTATAGTAAGTATTATTGAAAAACAATACATTTACTACAGCCTTCTCCTCGGCATAACCACCACCAAAACGATTTTCTGGGGGAAAATCAGTGAGTTTTAGAAAAGTGGGCGTCTCTCTGTCGCGATGGTCAGAGGAGTCAGGATGGAGTAACGACATTTCAGAACGTGGGAAAACAGAAACTATACTCCAACATGCAGACAGACTTGAGTATGTACACGACAGAAGGAAGCCACATTAACAAAATCACAAAAGTCCCCTTTAAGAATAACAAAGACATTGATGCAGGAAGACACACACACACACAGGACACTGGAGATGACGAGAGATAGAAAGAGAAGTAGCAGAAGGCATCACTCACCAGAATCAGCAAATTCTACGGGACATGGACAAAAACAGGAGAGATAAGTCCAGTGACAGTGTACATTCAAAGAAAATAGTGAAAGGTGCTCATGCCAAAGTGTCCAAGACAGGTAAGCACGCCGCACACACAGAAGAAGAGGGATTTTAGACTGAAATACCGAAGAAAGCAGCGATAAGTGACTGCTGAGTGGCATATAGAAGCATTTTAGTGCACAATCAGTATATAAGTGCTGAGAGAGTATTGCAACTTTTAATTGGGTTTATCTATTGTGGTCTAGCCAGGAATATACCATAGTGTAGTACTAAAAGTCCCGTTTGTTATGAATAGTTTTAAATGGTAGCGTGTAGCAAATGAATACATGATGAATAAAATAATCAAATAGAATGACATTTGAAAAAAGTAAACAATAAAAAACCAAATGATAATGAAGTAAAAGAAAAAGCAAATACACAATATTTAGTAAAAATGAAATGTAGTAAAAAAAACATAAAATTAACATAAACATGAAAAATAATTTCAAAATAAATAATAATAATAATTTAAATAAATAAATAATATAAACAAAAAATAAATAAATAAATAAATAAAAATAACAAAATAAATAACAAAAAAATAAATAAAATAAATAAAATTTAATTTTGTAAATAAAATTTAATTTAATTTTCTCTAAATACAATGCTGTACATCTACTTAATCAGGCCTTGGGCAGAGCACCCGACAAGGCAGGACCTTTAATAATCTGAAAAAATATAAAATAGAATGACAAACTATGTTGAAATGAGAGAATTATACCTGTTTTTGCTTATTCTTACTTTAAAGATAGAGCCACATTAGATTCAGACCCAGACAAACCTGTTTAACTCAAGCACAATTTTTCCACTCGTCTTGTTTTACTCGTTCCTCTTTTTTTTCATGTTTGCAGCGCTCAGTTATTGCACCACACATGTCTCTGACGGCAGAACGACCTCAGTTTATCCTTGGACTTATTTTCTGCGTAAGAAACGTCCAGATCTGTGCCACGTCCCTGTGCATCAGCTGTAAATACCACGAAGATGAGGAAAGAGCAATAACGTCTCTGTCATCAACTGCTGGGAATAGTTTTAGAGACATGTGAATGCACTGTTCTTCTTAGTCATCAAAAGTTCTAATAATTCAAATGGAAATTGTGCCATTATGTATTCAAATCAAGCTGGAAGTGTTGCTTTTGTTCTTGTGAATAATTAATTCAATCCTCAGTCATGTCACACGGCGCCTCAGCAGCAGCAGCGATTTGCCAGAAGACTCATCAATATCCTCTGAGACATAGTGCTTTCTATTCTTCAGCTTTAACATACATTACATATTCAATTATTATTTAGATTAGTTTATTAGTAGGTTGATCTAAAACACAGCCTCGGTATTCCCTTTAAACTACTGTTAGAAAATCCATTATCTATTGTTAATGTACAATTAACCTACTAAAAGCTGTTGAAATCTATTGAGGTGAATGATACAGTTATATATACATGTGTTAAAGGGGAAAAAAGTGTATTATTGACGTGGAATTGACCTTGCTGGTTTGTTATTGCCTCATGAGTTCAGGTCTTTCTCACAAGACAAAGTAGGCTGTTATATCACCAACACTTTTTGTATCTATCTCCATCAGAAAACAGCGGTAAAAACAACAGCAAGTATCTGGTCCTAGCTCATTGATTGGATAATATAACGACTATACCCTGCTTAAGTAAAGTTTGAAGCAGTTTGGTTAAAATTCCCCAAACTGCCATTGAGTTAAGTATACCCCGGTGTCACCAGTCTGTGAGTACCTTCACTTAGAGGGTCCAGAGTGTGGATCATGAGCTGAAAGATGCTGTTCCTCATCAGGCTGTTGTGCAGAGAGGCCGAGCTGCCCCCCCTCTGGAGCCGCGGCCGTGCCTGCAGAAACACACAGCACAATTACCAACTTTGCATTAGGAGACCGTGCATCAGCTGTCAGGTACCGTAATTGCCGGACTATATGTTGCTACTTTTTACCGGTTCTTTTAGCCCTGTGGCTGAGATAGCGATGTGGAATGTGGTATCCTTGGGGCGCAGTAAAGACTCTGGACACAGCTCTATCTGCTGTGGTTTATGTGAACAGTAACCGACAGGAGAAGCAGAGAAACACAGAACTGTTTTTACGAGATTACGGCTGTTGTTAGAAGAGTTGTTTATGGACTTGACTCCGTCCACGTTTAGTCGCTGTACGACGCACGGGTATAGTCCAAATACTGTAGTTGAATGCTTGTCAGTCAATTTTACAGCTTTTCGTTTTGTAAGAGCAATTTCTCAGAATGTACATGTTTTCACTCCACCATAGCAATACACTGTTTACTTGACCGCAATTAGTATTTGGCAACTGTTTTGCTATATTTTAAGTTTTATTCACCAGTTTTACCACTTATTAAAGGTAAAAACAAAATAAATTATTTAATTTTATTCAAACTGATGGAAAATTCCATTGTTTTGAATAGGAGCAGAGTGTTAACAAACCTTATCTTTAAATCAAGTTGTTCAGTTACAACAGTCGTCTATCGGATGTTTTTTCAAGAGTAACCTCATATGAACATACTGTTGCGGTTTATACACAGGTTTATACACAGGTGCACTTAATAGTCCAGCAAGTACTGTATGTAGAATGGTCAGTGCAGGACTCAAGCCACAGCATGTAATGGTCGTCAACTGAAATCACTTCCTTGTTTATAAAGTTAGCACTTAGATGCGGCTAGCAAAACTTCTGCAAATATAAGCCTGTTAGGTAAAGCCATGCATTTGATCTAACATTTCAAAACAATAAAACAATAATAAATATGGTGTTACATTCAGCTGCAAACATGTGATGCATGTCTTGTCAAGTCACAACAATATTGGCGTGTTTTCCTCCAGAGACGTGGATACTTACTGTCCGGGAAAGACTGGGCTAAAGAGGAAAGGGGGAGCACAGGTACTGGAGGCAGAGGAGGTCTCTGCTGGGACTGGGGTGAAGGCGTGTGGTAATGAGCGTGTAGCAACAACAGCTTGTGGAAATATGTATGTAAGCAGTATTAGAACGTATTAGGGTTGTCAAATGTATTGCAAATTAGATTAAAAACATTTTTTAAACTAAATATCGAAAGTAAATACTGATTTGAGAAAGGTGATGATACTAACGTATCATGAAGTTTTTGAATGACTGTTTTAATATCAGAGCTAATACTTAATAATAATAATTTATTGAAAATATGTCTTTTGTTGTTGTCTGTTTCCTTGTATGTGTCTTATGTAAAGATTGAATAGGTAATTGTTAATTATGTAGAGAATTCCCTCTCATTGTGGAAATAATGGTTCAGATTATGGCTGTGGTATCAAAGCTGGAATCTTTGGAAGTTTTTGTTTTTAGTATTGTGACAACACTAATAACTATTAGTTATTGGGGAAATTCCTACGTTCAGGAAAATTAGAATTTTGTTCAAAAAGTTAATTTATTTCTGTAATTCAACTTAAAACGTGAAACCAATACAGTGGAGCAAAATGTATTTAGTCTGCCAGCGAATGAGCAAGTCCTCCAGCTTAAAACAACGAGAGATATCTGTATTTTTCCTCATATCTACAGTACAGACCAAAGTTTGGACACACCTTCTCATTCAAAAAAATATTTTTTTAATTTCATGATTATGAAAATTGTAGATTCACACTGAAGGTTAAGAATGAACTAATTAATTATGTACGTCCACAAAAAAAAGTATGCAACAACTGAAAATACAGTATGTCTTATATTCTAGGTTCCTCAAAGTCGCACTTTTTGCTCTGATTACTGCTTCGCACACTCTTGGCGTTCTTTTGATGAGCTTCAAGAGGTAGTGACCTGAAATGGTCTTCCAACAGTCTTGAAGGAGTTCCCAGAGATGCTTAGCACTTGTTGGCCCATTCACCTTCACTCTGTGGTCCAGCTCACCCCAAAACCATCTGGATTGGGTTCAGGTCCAGTGACTGTGGAGGCCAGGTCATCTGACCCAGCACCCACCATTCTCCTTATTGGTCAAACAGCCCTTACACAGCCGGGTGTGGATCTACATCCAATAGTCATGAAAAGAAAAAAAACTCATTGAATGAGAAAGTGTGTCCAAACTTTTGGTCTACTATGTACTGTATATCTCAACTGTCAGACAAAATGACAAAATCCAGAAAATCACATGGTCTCATCTGGAATTAAGAATTTAGTCAACAGCATCTCATTACTTTGACTTTTGTCATTTCCAATAAATGGCATACAACTCTGCCGTTGGTATTTTGGCCCATTCCTCCATGCAAATCTTGAGTGTTTTGGGGATGTGATTTTCTTCATAATTTTTTAATGGGGAGAACTTTCACAATTGGTTTCTGACTATTTAGTTTTTTACCCCAACTGTCCATGAAATAGACTCATTACAAAGTGACAAGCCTTTGCTTTTATTTTTGTAATTTTCATAATATTGATTACTAATTACTAACTTAATTTTTTAAAAGCTGTGAGCCAGTTCTCAACATTATGACAAAGGCTTGAAATATCAACATTGCCTGTAATGTCATATATTTATTTCACATTGAAAATGGATTACAGAAAAAATGGTCTTCTGAATTGTAATCTAATTTTCCGAGTTTCAGCTGTATGCGCTTATAAAAGGCAATACTATTTAGGATAAAAAAGCAGTTGCAGTTTTGAATAGCCATGCAGTGTGTAAAATGTTTCAATAGGTCTTCACTTTCCACTCTCTTGAAAGCAGAATGATTGGAGGAGAGCCGAACATGGAAACAGAACCATCACAAATACTCATACCTACCGATAACTTGGTGTCATCCTCCGGAGCCACCGGACTTTGCTTCTCATCCAACAATAAGGGAAAAGGTAAACAAAAAGGGGAGAGAAAAAAGAAGAAAAAAACAAGACATACACGTGAACATAAGACAGTAAAACAAAATGACAGGACGTACAGTACATCACAAACGCTTAGTGACAGAGACTGATGCGACTGGACAAGACGGGACACGGTCCTCCCCGGTTCTGCTGCGACCTCAGAAAGGATTCGGACAATACAATTAAAGAGCCACCGAAAGGACTTTAATGTATTTCCTGTGTTCTCTAATCTGTTGTTAGGGAATCGACAACTTTGTAAGGTCTTCCGAGATGACTCCTGTTGTGATCTAGGGCTATACAAAAATAAAATGAATTGAATGACAAGGTAACCTCTTGTTTGTTAGCGTAATAGCATTAGCCCCCTACCCCAATCTGCCTTTGAAATCTGCCATATGAGATTTTCCTTTGAATCTGGCCAAATCAATGGAAAATAATTGGGGGTAAAATGTGTAAAATGTCTTGTTTTAGCAAAAATATGAAAATACAAGAATGAAACAAAAAGAAGGAGACAAAAAAGCTACTGCTCTTAAACTAAGGGTACTTATCCATTGGATCTATTTCTACCTATAAAAGTCTTTAAAATAATATTTCTATGATGTTATTTATCTATAAAGTAATATATATATTCATTATTACTGATGACATTTTGGAACCGTTGTCCAGCGCAATAATAATTAGTTGGCAAAAATAGCTTTTGAAATGAGGTTTAACGTGTCATGGAACCATACTGGCCGGGGCCACCACTTATGTCCAATAATGCTTTTTGGCGTGGGGAGGTTGCCTCCATAGAAGCAAAGTTGACAAGCTGTAAAATGTGCAGTGGGAGGCCTGAGAAGGCTGAGAAGGAAACCTAGAATATGCACTAAGACAATAGAAATGATCCCCATCTGCTGGCCATGTACAGAACTGCAGCATGGAAATGAGAGGGAACATGTCACTTGTCATTGGTGTGTACTTGTATATAGTGGAAATTTTATGAAGATTTCTTCTGCATGCCTTTGATCTGTGTTTTACTCTGATAACTTGTTCGCACCATAATGGCAATACAAAGATTTCTGATTCGGTTTCTGAGAGCTTATTCTCCATTTGACTTTATAAAATCAAGAAATAAGGTACAGATCTTTATGATTTGGTTTTGTTTAATTAAAATCTCTGAATGTTTATTGAAGCTAGTATTAGGCTGTTATATATTACAGTTTTCGAAGTTGACGGCATATGATCCAAAGCCCACAAAGCATTATGGATTTTCACAGGTAGCAAAATGTTGTTAATTAAACAAATCAGCTCAATACATCAGTTATTCTCTAAATAAACAAACATTAAAGGATGACCATTCCCTCAAGCTTGATAAAATAAGTGACTAACTCTAAATCCAACTTTACAAGCAAAGTAAAGTGCACTCTTTGAACCATCACTTAACTCAGCCGCCACCACTCTCAGCAGGCCCATTTGGCTTTCTCCATCTGTACTACCGCGCTATTTCTGAAACAAAAGCCTTTCACGGACCGCCTCACTGAAGCATGCTCACTTCATCTCAAAAAATGTGTGTATGCGGATAACAGCCCATGTTTGTAACTACAAAAGAGAAAAAACACAAAGCTTTTTGTTCAGAAACCAGCATATCGGGTCTTTGTTACGCAGCCTCCGCAGTTTTCAATTTGAAAAAAAAAAAGTGAATAAGTGCGGAGGCCGTGGCGTGTGACGATATGCCACAGGAGGCGGAAGGGAAGGAAAATGAGAGGGGTTGATCCGTCATGTGTGCAATAAAAGTAAAGCTTGGTTTTGTCGCCAATGGAATTTGAATAATGCGATTGTGTTGTATTGTGTTGTATTTTGTTGTATTGTGTGTCTAGGATTGGATGGTGAGAGGGGATTGGAATAATGTGTGGTTCAGGTTTCAACACAACTTTATGGGAAAGAAGAAGTTTGTGGAAGAAAATGCCCTAATATTTTCCCAGATTATCATTTGTTAGCGGATAGATTCACAAACATACCATAATATTTTTAGGTCTGAAAGTCTTTTCTACTCGCAAACATGATGCAAATGTTTTTGAATATTGTCGTTACTTCTAGCCACCATGTAGTGTGCTGACAAAGATGTGAAACTTAAAATGTTGTGGTGCCATTTGCATGTGAAAGCCCAATCCCGGAGACCTCTGAAGGTTCGGATTCGGGTAAGCAGTGCAGGGCCCATGGCTAGTATTGTGATGGGTGACCTTTGGAAACACCAGGTGCCACAGTGGGGCGGCTGCGGCTGTAAAGTGCCAAACTGCCATTATGTCCTTAGACACTTCATCCACATGGCCTAGAATGAGTCTGGTGTGTGCATGAAAGGTTGGTGGTCGTCTGTGGGGCTGATGGCACAAACTGGTTGCCTTGCTTGTGTCAGTGTGCCCCAGGGCAGCTGTGGCTACAATAGTAGTTCATCACCACCATGTATGAAGTGAGAGAATAATGACCTGTGAAGGGTCTTTGAGTGTCCAAAAAAGTGCTATATAAAACTGATGCATGATTTGTATAATTATATTTTAGTTTTACATGAAATAGCCTTGGTATTACAGATAAATGAAAAATGCAGTCAGTGATTTTATTCTAGACGCATCTGTTTTAATACTGTGAGAAACGTCCCTAAACCCTAAAAACAGTTATCATGTGTTTTCAAATAGTAATGGAATTGACCCGATGCCTATAGTTTCCAAAAATCAATAAAACTTATTTTGGAGCGGACCGATAAAAAAATAAACCAATGGGATTTGTTCATCTCCAACGAACCAATGGGATGCGTTTACCCCCTTCACCCTCTTCCTGTTTCTCGCAAGTGCGCACCTGAGTTATCGGATTATTTTCTAAAACCGAAAAAGGCTGAACAGAAAATGCCAATTTCACGTCTGCCGCCCACTTTCCCTGTTGTGACAAAGAAAAGAAAATGCTGGATGTTTGGTTTGGGGAGGGGGGAGAGTTGGTGCTATGACAAAATCGCTAACTGCATCTTTAACTCTAAACTAAAGCTTTTTGACTCTCGCAATAGTGACTAGCAGCTTCTCTACGACACACTGTTAAGCTATTGGCTTTTTGGAATATTGTGATGTCTGAATACAACCAATCACTATGGAAAAACCAGCACATTTAGTACCACTCTCGCTCCATATTTTAACATCCTGACTATGTATTTCAAATCTTTGGCAATAATCCTCTGTGTCGTTGAAGAGTAATTATTCTATTCCGCCTTCCGCAAAGGGAGTGTGAACAGGTTAACATGCCAGATAGAGATGAGGCTGCCGAGCCATCATTAAGCCACTGTTAAATATTATGACTAATAATCGCATATAGGCAGATTAGTATGTTCTCTCGAGCTGCTCTCTCTTCCAGCGCTTATGTAACCCTAACATCAGGATGGTTCTTGGAAGCGGATCAGCCGAGGGAACGAGAGACACGGAGCTGCCAGGATTTATTGATAAGAGTGTGACATCATGCTAAACTATTTTCACCCTTTGGCAGAGTTTCATGCGGTGGCTTAGGAGGGGCTTTGGAGGAAGTCTTAACTTTTGAACATGGGGGAAATATGATGGCGGATTTCCTAATGTCAACGAGAGGGCACAGGGAGACGTGGGGGAGGATTGCATATAGTGTAGGGGTCAAAGGTTAAACTGAATACAACTACACTGCAAAAACATCTCTCTATTACCTCATATTTATCACTTTTTACAGCGTACATACAATTGGACTGGAAATGTTAGCTTTGAAAGTAAGTCATTATGGTGGGTCTATAGTAGCATAGAGCAGATTGGGCTACATTATAGGCTTTTCAGCGCTGATTATTGAATGCATGAATAATGACAGATCTAAAGGTTGAGGCTGCAAAATTTGTTGGAAAAATATTGCTTATTTGGTATTGGCAAGTGCTACATTGATGTCGCAAAGATGTGCAGTCAATGTTTGTATAAATTGTGTGGTTTTTCTTCAGTGGGCAAAAGCCCACTGACTCTTGTGGTTCAGAGGCTGGAGAGAAACAAACACACAGGGTGGGAGAAGAGATGAAAGAATATACACATATTTCCAAAATGTATCTTGATTTCTTTGAGTAAGGAAAGTATGACAATCTACAGCATCACATTCTTGATACCACTGTGGTATATTGGACTAGTCGTGATGGAAATGCTTCTAACTACCACAGTTACTACAGGTATTGGTTTAATTTGTGAAATTAATTATGTTTGCAAAGCGCCAGTGAAAACTGGATCGAAGCATTTCTACTTTGTTTACGCTGGTATGGAACCACATAAGGCGGACTCAGACAAGGCCAGCAGATTAATTTGGGAGCACAGGGAAAGGCCTTGCTTGTATTATAAATGCATGTATTTGGACACATACTAGGCCAGTTTTCCCCAACCTTTTTGAACCATGGTACTCCACAAACATGAAGTCATTTTCTTCAAAGAGTATTACCTCACTCCCTTCTCTGTGTGGAGTGACAGACAAATGCCCCAAAATAACAACTGTAAAGTGCTTTGTGACTCTGGTCTGAGAAAAACGCTATAAATAAAGATTACTTACTTATTATAGTAGAAACCGTATAGCTTTCTACTATACGGTTATAACCGTATAACCGTATAGTAGTAGAAACCGTATAGCTTGGAGATTGATGAGCACGCGTTTTTGACGTCTCTGCTCTGTTTACCCTTTTAAGCCTTTTAAAGCCTTTTAAAGCCTTTTAAACACGTTTTTACGGTGTATTAGTGTCTTTTGTACACTCTAGTGTTTTTACCTTAAATGCAATGGTTCCAGAGCATCACGTCTTTTAACACAAAGACCCAATCGAAACGCGCTAGCTCGGAGGCTACCACGAGCGCACCACAGACATGGAAAGTGACACTGCAATGACCACGAACGACATTAGTCGCCTCACATTGGAGCTTCGTGAGAGGGACCGTGCCACTATTGCAGACCTCCGTAAAGAAGTCCTTC